TAATAAAACTTTTAAAAAACTAAATTTTAAATTGAAATATAACTATATTAAAAAAGACAATAATCTATACTGAAGTACTTTAGTAGAGGCAGCTGAAGACTTGGTAAAACTTCCTACAGGTGAAGAGTAATATTCTAATATAACTATATTAAAGAAGATAATAAGCTATACTGAAGTACTTTAGAGAGGCAGCTGAAGACTTGGTGAAACTTCCTGAAGGTGAAGAGTAATATTCTAATATAACTATATTAAAGAAGATAATAAGCTATACTGAAGTACTTTAGTAGAGGCAACTGAAGACTTGGTAAAACTTCGTGAGGTTGTAGAAGCCAACTTCGAGGGACAGTACCGCATCTTCACATCTTCAAAATGGATGGTAAAAAGGTTACCTTTGTCTCCTTTGAGGAGCTGACAGACTTAGTGATGATGAGCCCAGAGTGTACATTCCTTGGCAGCGGAGTCAGCGGATCAGTCTATCTCTTCACTGTACTCGGTGAAAAACTGTGCGTCAAAAAATCCCATGAAAAAACTACATGAGGATATTTGGCCATGAAATGAAATTGCTTCATGAAGTTGATGGTGCTGGAGGTGCCCCTCTGGTGAGATACATGGCCTATGATTACCCAGCCATGGTTATGGAATACCGTGGACACACAGATTTCAACGAATTTTTCTACACCTGTAAGTCTTCCTCAAAGCGCATCCTGGCTTTGATTAAGTTAGCTGAGAGCCTCCAGGAGGTTCATGATAAAGGATTCGTACACATGGACCTTAAAGCTGACAATGTATTGGTTCAACATGTGGAGGAGGACTCTAACTTCCATGTCAACATAATAGATTTCGGCCTGGCCCGGAAGGCAGGTGAGGATCATCGGGGCTTCAATTCTCAAAGTGAACACTATGCTCCAGAGACACGCATTAAAGGCAAGGTATCTCCAACCATGGATGTGTATTCCTTTGGAGATCTCATTAGTTTTGTTTCTGATTACTTAAAAAATAAGAAACAGTCTAAGAAGCTGAACGTCCTGGCACGAGAAATGATGGATCCTGAAGCAGGGAAGCGACCAAACTTGACCATTGTTCAGGAACGCTTGCACGAAATCATGAACATCACAACGAAATGTAAACGACTCAAAAAGAGAGTTGTCGAAGCAGTGGCAGCAGCGACCGTTATGGTGCAAAAAATATTTGTTCATCGCCAATGCTGAGGCGACATCAACCAATGATGTGAGAGATGGTCAGGATACTTTTATAACCACAACTGTAAAAAAAAAAAAAAAAAAAAAAAAAAAAAAAAAAAAAAAAAAAAAAAAAAAAGGTGATAGTATGTGTAAAGGTCATAGTTTGTCTAGTGTGTAGTGGTGTTAGTTTGTCTAGTGTGTAGTGGTGTTGGTTTGTCTAGTGTGTAGTGGTGTTGGTTTGTCTAGTGTGTAGTGGTGTTGGTTTGTCTAGTGGTAGTGGTGTTGGTTTGTCTAGTGTGTAGTGGTGTTGGTTTGTCTAGTGTGTAGTGGTGTTGGTTTGTCTAGTGTGTAGTGGTGTTGGTTTGTCTAGTGTGTAGTGGTGTCAGCTTGTTTACCGAGTAGTGGTGTTGGTTTGTCTAAACTATTTATTCAAATATTACTGAAGGAATATTTTGTTAATGGTGACTTTTAAGTTTGCATATGTGACTTTATCAAATTAATTTTGAGTTTCTGACAATTCACTACTACCACCATCACCACTACTACAACTACCACCACCATCACCACTACTACAACTACTACCACCACAACAACTACTACCACCATTACTACTGCCATCACCACCACAACCACCACTACTGCTACCACGACCACTCTTCAAGTGGGGGCTCTTTGGCACAGTGATGAGGCTCTTGATCTGAGGTATTAGACATTTTAGTCTGCTTCCTCAGTTTATTTGGCATTTTGTTTATAGAAAGTATATTATAATACAATAGAAATACAGGAGGGTCTCACTTTCTGGTATTTTCCAATACAGTTGTTTTCAATTATGGACATTCTTCATTTATTCACACTTCTTACAATAAAAAATATTCACGACTCACTATAAGCTAAGGACAAAAATATTTTAAAATAAATATTCTGTGTATTGTTGGTCAATTACTCACTTAATATATGACACTATAGACTCTCACTACTAAGCACTACACACACACTCACTACTAAACACTACACACACTCTCATTACTAAACACTACACACACTCACTGCTAAACACTACACACACTCTCACTACTAAACACTACATAGACTCTCATTACTAAACACTATGTTAAATTGAAATATAACTATATTAAAAAAGACAATAATCTATACTGAAGTACTTTAGTAGAGGCAACTGAAGACTTGGTTAAACATCCTACAGGTGAAGAGTAATATTCTAATATAACTATATTAAAGAAGATAATAAGCTATACTGAAGTACTTTAGAGAGGCAGCTGAAGACTTGGTTAAACATCCTACAGGTGAAGAGTAATATTCTAATATAACTATATTAAAGAAGATAATAAGCTATACTGAAGTACTTTAGTAGAGGCAACTGAAGACTTGGTAAAACTTCGTGAGGTTGTAGAAGCCAACTTCGAGGGACAGTACCGCATCTTCACATCTTCAAAATGGATGGTAAAAAGGTTACCTTTGTCTCCTTTGAGGAGCTGACAGACTTAGTGATGATGAGCCCAGAGTGTACATTCCTTGGCAGCGGAGTCAGCGGATCAGTCTATCTCTTCACTGTACTCGGTGAAAAACTGTGCGTCAAAAAATCCCATGAGAAAAACTACATGAGAGAATTGGCCATGAAATGAATTTGCTTCATGAAGTTGATGGTGCTGGAGGTGCCCCTCTGGTGAGATACATGGCCTATGATTACCCAGCCATGGTTATGGAATACCGTGGACACACAGATTTCAACGAATTTTTCTACACCTGTAAGTCTTCCTCAAAGCGCATCCTGGCTTTGATTAAGTTAGCTGAGAGCCTCCAGGAGGTTCATGATAAAGGATTCGTACACATGGACCTTAAAGCTGACAATGTATTGGTTCAACATGTGGAGGAGGACTCTAACTTCCATGTCAACATAATAGATTTCGGCCTGGCCCGGAAGGCAGGTGAGGATCATCGGGGCTTCAATTCTCAAAGTGAACACTATGCTCCAGAGACACGCATTAAAGGCAAGGTATCTCCAACCATGGATGTGTATTCCTTTGGAGATCTCATTAGTTTTGTTTCTGATTACTTAAAAAATAAGAAACAGTCTAAGAAGCTGAACGTCCTGGCACGAGAAATGATGGATCCTGAAGCAGGGAAGCGACCAAACTTGACCATTGTTCAGGAACGCTTGCACGAAATCATGAACATCACAACGAAATGTAAACGACTCAAAAAGAGAGTTGTCGAAGCAGTGGCAGCAGCGACCGTTATGGTGCAAAAAATATTTGTTCATCGCCAATGCTGAGGCGACATCAACCAATGATGTGAGAGATGGTCAGGAGTACTTTTATAACCACAACTGTAAAAAAAAAAAAAAAAAAAAAAAAAAAAAAAAAAAAAAAAAAAAAAAAAAAGGTGATAGTATGTGTAATGTGTAAAGGTCATAGTTTGTCTAGTGTGTAGTGGTGTTGGTTTGTCTAGTGTGTAGTGGTGTTGGTTTGTCTAGTGTGTAGTGGTGTTGGTTTGTCTAGTGTGTAGTGGTGTCAGCTTGTTTACCGAGTAGTGGTGTTGGTTTGTCTAGTGTGTAGTGGTGTTAGCTTGTTTACCGAGTAGTGGTGTTGGTTTGTCTAAACTATTTATTCAAATATTACTGAAGGAATATTTTGTTAATGGTGACTTTTAAGTTTGCTTATGTGACTTTATGTGACTTTACAGTTAGGCCTGAGTGGTTGAGGGGAGAGGACGTGTGTGTTGAGTGAAGTCCTAGGCCTTCTATATCAGAACTGCTTATCTCACCCGAATGATAACTCGTCATGCAACAAATATCGTTGGAGCGCAGCTGAATTGCTGCTGGAACTCTTATGTGTGAACTGTGACTAGTGACATACCTAGTGAAACACAAACATGTTGATTTGAAGTGGCTGTAGGAGGCTACACCTTCACTCCACCTCGCCTCTCTCCCCTCCTTCCTCGATTTGTCACTCAGGCATTCGCCTCTATTTACTTATGGTCCAGAGGAGGTTTTTGCCAGACCACATAAATGCTTGAGTGCCCGTGTCAGTCCTCCGTGCCGCACTCCATCTTACGAATATGTCTCCTGTGTGCCTACCTGCCTGCTACAAGCAAATATGCAAGTGGTTGACACGGGCTTAGCAAGCACATTCAAGCAGGCTTGAAAGCAGCATTCCAAGGCCCAGCATGTCTACGTATACGTTCTACAGTGCTGCTGGCATACCAGTGTTTCCTGCAGTGGCTTAGTTAAGAACAATTTAACGAGCATTGCAGTACTAACTTTTTAAGTGGGACATGCCAGAGGTTCACCTATAAAAATAGTAAGTTTGTGCTAGTAGTGTTAACTCAGTAAACTGATGTTCTAGTGCAGTTATCCTCTTCAAAACACCGTTTTCTCTTACTCAGAGACCAAAAAATGGGACATGGAGTGGAGTAACTCAATATTTATCGAAATATTCCCGATAATCTTTCGTCATATTATGGCCTATTTTATTCAGTCTAGAGTATATAACATGTTTGTATGTTATTTATAGTGTTTATTATATCATATTAGATCAATTCTGATAGACAAATAATCCGTAGAGTTGATATATAAGCGTAATAATGGGCGATTCCTGCTGGTACCTCGGGAGCAGGAACACTGCCGAGTGTTCCCATCTGGTTCCCGGTTGTCGCTAAGTCTATGTATAAGCTCCGCCTACTGTTTTATGATGCCAAATAGTCAGTTATTATATTAGAAAGAATAATGCAAGAAAAGGCGATAAAAAACAAGAAAACAACTCCAAAAAATATATGGGCCGTGAGCAGACTCGGTACCAACATCGCCGTCACCATACCTGATATAAATGACTATAATTTCTTGTAGAAACGTCGTAGAACATTCATTCTGGTACCATTGTGTTGCCAAAGAGTTGAGCTATTTTTCAGTATGTATAACTCAATTTCCATATTTTTCCGATTTTTGGGTGAGCGCGCGCGGAAAATTGCCCTACAGCCCCCTTAAGTAGTGAAAATTTGTCTGTCATTCCAAGACACGTGTGCTAAATGTGTTAAGTGCTGCGGGTTTGGAGTATTTAACAAGTAGTACAGTGTTGGTAACTCTCGAGACGACTGTGGGCCCAGTGAATGACCTTGAAAATCGCACTGCGACCCGCAGGCCACTACACCCGGTGGCCTGGTGGCTAAAGTTCCCGCTTCACACACGGAGGGCCCGGGTTCGATTCCCGGCGGGTGGAAACATTTCGACACGTTTCCTTACACCTGTTGTCCTGTTCACCTAGCAGCAAATAGGTACCTGGGTTAGTCGACTGGTGTGGGTCGCATCCTGGGGGACAAGATTAAGGACCCCAATGGAAATAAGTTAGACAGTCCTCGATGACGCACTGACTTTCTTGGGTTATCCTGGGTGGCTAACCCTCCGGGGTTAAAAATCCGAACGAAATCTTATCTTATCTTATCTTAGCCTGTGTCTAGCGAGGTGAATATTCCTTCCTTGTCCCTTCTCTCTTATGGAATAAAGGCGGTTTCGCTGACCCAAAAGTAACAGACTAACTCTTCCATCTCAAGCAGCTGAACTAAAAGTGACCTATGGATGTGAACGAAGTAAATGATGGTGAAGGCGAATTCGTACGTTTTAGAAGTAAGGGAGCTTTGAAAAAAGAAAGAGGATTTCAAAGGAGACTTGCTGCAAGAAACAACGAGAGCAACAACAACCATTGCAGAACGGTTAGGCTTGATTTCCCTGCTAACACTGAGTTTGAGGTCAAGTTTAGATGGTTTTATGAAGCTTCATTAGACAACCCAGGAAAAAACCTTCGGATTCGCTTTCGTCATGACGAGGATAATTACGTTTTTGTTACTAACGACCCAACATTCATAGAAAAACTTCTTACTCATAAATATGCTAACATCCAACTCCAAGCTGCCCCACCAATATCACCTAAAGTGCTTATTGTTATCCACAATCTCAATAAGTACATGGATCCTAAATTCCTGTTGTCAGATCAAGTTGCAAACCCTCGTCGACTTCCAAATGATCTGATATTGGCTGAGTGGATTGGCCAAGGGACTCCACCATCATATATCTACTCTCGTGCAGCGCTTAACAGGAGTTACAAAATAGCTTTGTACAAACCACCTCACCGTAGATGCTACAAGTGTCAGCGCTGGGGTCACGTTGCTTTTAAATGCTTTAGTAAGTCACACTGGTGTGTAGTGTGTGCCAAGGCCCATCCTTCTCACCAGTGCTATGATATGATCAAGAAACACCAGACCGTTGCATTAGAATGTATCAATTGCAAGACTCCAGGAGTCACAGCTGCTCATGCTGACTGCAGAGCGAAAGCTGCCCACATCGCCAGCCGCAGAGCTCCCGCCTCACCCATCACCCCCCATGATGAGGCAATAGGCCTACCAGATACTTCATGTCTGAATACTGACCCATGCCTGAACTCAGACAATATGGTTGAGCGAGTCACTCTGGGAGTACATCAACAGAGCACGATCACGTCTGCTATTAACACTAGTAATGCTGCTGGTGTTGACACCATCTGTCTGGCTGAGTCAGCTGTCAGTCAGCCACCTGACAGCTGACCGGGACTTCATACTTCCTGATGAAGCTAGTCTTGCTGGGGTGGTACACAACATGCAGCTGCGCATAACAGTACTGGAGAAGCAACAATGGTGTTTGAAACAACTTAAGTATCACGATGAAAAACTTACAGAGGTTGCAAATGAGTACATCAACCCACAGATTGTCAGCCATTATGAAAATGAGTGTGGTGATGATGAACAAACTGATGATTGCAGTGGTGTTAATAATTACAAAAAAAACGATGAATCTGATAGTGGTGTTTACAATCACAGTGAAGATGATAAGGGCAGTGAAGACCATGATGAGAGTAAGACACATGTGCAACATCTGGGTATCTTTATTGTAGACGTTTCGCCATCCAGTGGCTTTATCAATACAAATTCCAGGACATAACTTGAAGACAGTAGAACTATGTACAGAAGATGAGGTAATCAGTCCCTCAACCTAGGAGTAGGTGCGAACAGCACCATAGTCGTGGAGATTCTGAAGCAGAAGAAAGAATCCTGGCGCTTATATAGTAACGTCAGGTGTAGCAGACGAGGACATATTCACTGGTAGGCGGGATTCCCCAGTGGAAGTAGGTCCTTCCCAAAGAGATGGGTAGTTGTAGTAGTTGTGAAGGTTATGTACATGTCCTCAGAATTAAGATTCCATGATGTTGCAGTGTCTGACAAGTTGTGTACGAATGGTATTATATACCATTCGTGCGCAGTGAAGACCATCATGATAGTCAACCTGATGAGTGTAATGTATTGATAGATACTGAGTGTGGAGATGACCCGGTTGTTGATAATGGTGTATGTATCACTGGTCATAATGATGAGGGAAGTGATACATGTGATGATAGTGATGAGTGTAATAAAAGCGGAGAGTTGAGTGCGAGGGATAGTGTCACCTTCCATACGTTCACAGACGAAGAGCGCAGTGACCTCTGTGTACAAAGACTCCCAAGAGGTCTCACTAATGGAAGTGCACTTAGGAGACTCATGGATAAGGATAATACTGATGATATTGATATTGATTATGTCTGTTTGTTATTTAGTAAGTTTTTTTCATTTTGCTGAGAAATTGAATACTATCCCTGGACTTTTATAATGGAACCAAACTCGTATAAACTATCCATTTTAAGTTGGAATATTGCGTCACTTAGAAAAAGATTTTCTGACCTGCATCATAAAGTAACCACTGAATCCATTGATATTGTGTGTCTACAAGAGTGCAGAGTCCCTGAAAAATCCCAACCCCCTAAATTGCCATCGTTTGTTGCATATAACCTCAAATCTACTAATTCTTGTGTTCTATATATTAAAAAAATCACTTCCCCATCAACTTCTTGCACATAAGAAAACAGAGGGGCTACAGTATCACGGTGTTAGGATTTATATGGAACTCTGCTCCCCAACATATTTAACTTGTACGCTCCTGCTGATAAGTTAATTACTTGGAGCTCCCAACTTGTTGCTCAGTCTGAAACCTTTCCCTCTCATTATTGTGTTTTATAATGCAAGACACAAAAGCATTGGAAACTCTCAGTTTGGTAATCGTAATGACAATCAACTGTTGTCACTCTTAAACAGTCATGATAATATCCAAATTGTAGGTGACCTTGAACCCACACATATCTATGGAGGTGTCCTTGATCTGTGCCTGGGCTTCAACATTACTTCTGCCAGCTGTGAGTCTTCCATTGTAACAGATATAGCGTCTGATCATTTCCCAAGGCTAACCTCTCTAGATATTGGTAATACTATTCTCCCTGGTGGGATATTCAAACGGAAACGTCTTAATGTTTCCCCTGATCAACATGATGACATTGTTGCACATGTGACTGACTGGTATAATTCCTATGAGTGTACCTCTGTCGAGACTTTTAACAATGACCTTGTGAGCAGTATTCAGAACTTCTTAGAGCCGCCTCTGAAACCTCCTACTACTATAAATCCAAATGACTTCCATAATAATCATAAGTCTTATAAAAACCATACCTTTTACAATGATTCTAAACTTCGAACATTGAAATGTACTGCTCGCAGACTAGGCCTAGCCTATAGAAACCATCGTACCCCTGAAATGCTGAGCCTCTTCCAAACTGCCCTTGCTGCTGCCAGAGAGCGTATGACAGAGCTGCGGCAAACAGACTGGGAACAATTTGTCAATGGTCTCAATGCTCACACCCCACTTAGCCGGGCATGGAGGGACATAAATAGATTTTTTTTTTTTTATATTTTATTTAGAACAATACAATACAAGAGATAGATAAAGACAAAAACAGGTCTTACACAGAATAAATCATTAACAACTGTGACACAAACATGAACTTGAGATAACACAAATAACCCTCCTCACCCATACATGAAAACCCCTACACCTATGATAACCAATAAACGACTAATTCCAATTGCATTGTTATATGATTAACAAAACACACCATAATATGCATATATTGTCCCGTTGTAAATTATAAAGTAGGACACCTTATACGTTAAATACAATTAACGTAATGTATTGAGAATAAGGTAAAAACAATATGTTCATCAAACACAGAATATATTAATAAACAAGGATCCAACACACTGACACCTCTACAAGCATCTAAAACATGCATATGAATAACATACAGAGAACAATCCCACTGCAAAATCAAACACATATATAGAGTATACTCGTCACAAACCATGAATACACATCATACGCCCAAGTTCATACACATTCACCCGCTACATACCAGAGGCGACCCCGTTTTCCACCCTGACAGCCCTCAACATAACACATTGTACCATCCCTACCCTGCCCCACCCACCCAATTTACAATATTAATAAAACCTCTAATGTAAGGTCTCGATATCCCTCAGAGAAATCCCGCTCCCACCTCCTCCCATAAAGTTCTCTATTATGGCACAACGTTTTATAAAACGTAACAGCCAATACCCTCCTCTTCACCTCACTTACCCTTTCCCCCTCATTCCCCACATAATGTAGACATAATCTACCATAATGTACCCCACAGCCCTAATAATACTTTCATCCATACCCCCCACATCAAGACTCAATGCCCGCAGAACAGAGAAGTATTGACCACTTATCTATGCAACACCCTGCTCAACCAACCCCTGACCCTCCCCAACCCCTCACAAAAATACACTACATGGAATGCAGAATCCTCCCCGCCAAATATTCCACATACCCCCCCCCCCTCAACCACCCTCTAACTCGTAAGACCACTCCCGAGGTTTAAAATCCCATGCAAAAACCGATACATCACCTCACGTCCACGGGGTTGTAACCTTAACCTACCAGACCTCCATATACATCCCAAGTCATGAAGATTGAGACACTTATGCAGCATATGGAAATCTTTATTCAGGAAACGTTTCGCCACACAGTGGCTTCATCAGTCCAATACAAAGAGGAAGTTCAAAAATGGTATACAATACCGACGGGTTGTTAGGTAAGACACAAAGAGGAAGGCGTAAGGAGAGGAGGAGAATAGGTAATCATCCCTCAACCTGGAGTCGATGTGTTCAGTCCATCAATCTTGATGGACTGATGGACTGAACACATCGACTCCAGTTGAGGGACTGATTACCTCATTCTCCCCCTCTCCTTACGCCTTTCCTTTTGTGTCTTACCTAACAACCGTCGGTATTTTATACCATTTTGAACTTCCTCTTTGTATTGGACTGATGAAGCCACTGTGTGGCAAACGTTTCCTGAATAAAGATTTCCAAAAAGCTGCTAAGTGTCTCAATCTTCAACTTGTCGGTTTTTTAAACCATTCATCACATCCCCAGTCCCTACATGGGGAAAATTTCCCCTCCACCGGAGCCACAACCCTTTCCGCCGACATCCTACACAGCCTACTTATTTTTTACCTTACCCGATCCCTTAAACCCTCACCACTGCCCTCAAAATAGTTTCACACTCCCTCAACTCCGTCCCAGTAAAAACATGCCCTTTCAATTTATTGTGTACACCCTTTAAACCCAAAAACCCCCCCCCCCCCCACCACACCCTCCCTCATCACCTCCCTTTTAAAAGAAGATACATTTAACCCTCCTCTTTAAGTTCATTAAACCAACCCCCCCCTGACGCACGGGTAACTTACTACATCCTTCTAAGCAGTCACAACCTGAACCCCAAAAAAATTTTAAAAACCCCTCTGAATGTTGCAATTGCCTCCCCTTTAAAGGGGGAACAGGCAGCCAATGCCAAAAAACCTTTGCTTACAAAAAACAAAATTACAATCACGCTGCAAAGGGTCAAATGATAAGGCCGCAATGCCCAATCGACCCAACTTTTTACCAACCTGACCGAATTATTAACACGGCAACCTCAAATCATCACATAGATTTAGACCAAAAATTTTTTAATGACAAACCCGCTTCTTTACGACTCACTACCCCACTCGACCCCTCCCCCCAAAAGTTCCTCCCCCCATAACCTGGACTTTCTCCGAATTTTTCCCTCATACCAGTCGCACATGCAAATGTGTCGACCACCCCATCTAAGGCTTTATGGACATCCCCTCTCTAACCATACATGGATCACCCACATACCCTATAAAACAGGCCAAACCCCCCTCACCCCCCCCCCAACCCCCTTCATAACGCCCATAGCCTCCACCATTCTATAAAGGGGGGCCCGTATGCATGCAAAAAAAAGCTTTGAAAGGGGAACCCCTGTCTAAGACCTCTCCCATTAAAATCCTCCCCCCAAAAACTTCTTTAAATCTTCTCTAAACCCATTGCCCTCTATATAACGCCTCGCCCCCATCCCACTTTTTTTTTTCTTCCCCCATAGCCCTTTTTCCTGGGGATGCCCAACGCCTCCGCCCCACCCTTCATAAGCCCTTGCCAGTCTATGAAACCAAAAAAACCCCCCCCCTTTCCCCCCCCCTTTTTTTTCCAGAAATTTCCCTTAAAAGGGGCCCATGCCCCCCCCCAAGACCTACCGGGCAACCCAAACTGGGTTTCCATACCCCCCTCCCTACAACACACTTGACCTATTCCAAAAATTTTTGCAAAATTTTATAATCCCGCAAAAACAACGATTTTTGTTTTATAGTCCCTGACGAACGCTTTTCCTTCCCCTTGGGAAACCAAAACAACTACAGCTTTTCCCCTTCTGTCACCCAATTTCCCCTTCCCTTAAACAAGTTCAGTAACCTCACCAAAAAACCTTTTATTAACTCCCAATGCTGTTGAAAAAACTCCGCCGGCACCATCGATTCCGGTGCTTTGCCCTTTTGCAGGGGCACTCAAAGCTCTCCATATTTCCCCCCCCTCAGTTTTCCCCCCCCAAAAGCTTCCCTATCACGTGTCCAACCTACAGGGCAACTTCCACACACCCCTCTAAACCCCCTAACCCCTACCCTTCCTCCCCCCAAATACTTTTCGACCATGATCCGCAAAAACCCCATTCCACCGTGTGTGGATAACCTACCCCCCTATACCCTCCCCCCCCCTCAAGGAAACCTCCAAAACGGGAAAAATATTGTTGCCTGCCGACGTTGTTTTTTGTCTGCGAAAAACAACACAAGACGGCCTACACCCCATAACACCCCTCCACCCCCCCCCCTTACTCTCACCGTTGGAACCGCTCGTCCTGAATTTCTCCAACCGCTTTTTTAAGT